CATGATCACGTGATCAAAATGTGGATGCTTAGCAACTGGCTCATATTTATGACTGTTACAGTGTCCTGGAGTAATGTGATCCCATTTTGTGACCTTCTGACATGCAAAAATCTATGGGGAAGCCAAATTCACTCAACTACCGTGTTACTAATTTAACAACTAGAGCAGGGGTGTCCAACCTTGGCAACTTTAAGACTTGTGGACTTCAACTCCCAGAATTCCTCAGCCAGCAAAGCTGGCTGAGGAATTCTGGGAGTTGAAGTCCACAAGTCTTAAAGTTGCCAAGGTTGGACACCCCTGAACTAGAGTGATTCACTTAACAGGTGGCAGGAATGGTTGTAAAATGGGGCAAAACTCAACAATTGTCTCACTTAGCAACAGAAATTTGGGGCTCAATTATGTTCGTGAGTCAAGGAGTACCTGCACACATCTGCACAGAGATATAACTGGTATGTCTTCCTCAAGCCAGGGGTCCCTACGCCGCTTCTCTCCGTAACTGGAACAGGGGGGTCTTCCTTTGAAGGCTTTCACCCACACTGTCGTTTCTGCTGGGTTTTGTTCTGAAGACAGTAAGTGAAACAACCTCTTGATTTTCTTCCTTTTCTTTTCTGTAGCGTCAGAACTGTAGGGCGTTTCATTACTTCAGAGTGAGCCTACCGATTTCAGAAGAAGATATGAGCCACTTAGTATGCAGATTAAGATTAAAGAACCAGTTTAGCAATAAAAAAGACAATGGGGAAGAAAAATAAAGGAAGTCAATGATTTCTGCCAGCAGCATACTCTACACACATACACATATATGGATAAAAGATAACAAGGCACATGAAGAACAGCCTAATATGTAGTTCTGGGTTTCCCTAGATTAGTCTTATTCTTTTTTTTCCCTTTAACGACCCCTTCCTATTTTTAAAAGTTATGGGAGACCCCAAAAGAGTTATTCTTTGTATGGGTTGTATTTACTGATAACTATTCTATTAAAAATTAAAACGGATGCATTTGCTGCCATGGCCACTTCTCACAATTGTTTGATGGGATTTTAATATTTCATTTTTTTCAAAATATGCTGGCAAATAATTTTGATTTTGTGGATTTCTTGGGGAAAGCTATGGGTCCTCGGTCACACTTTGAGAAACACTGTCCTTGATAACCCAATCTTTTTTCATGATATATGGTGGTTGGTTCTTCCCTGGCAGAGGTCTATGATGGAAGTGAGAACAATGAACCAATGGAACAAAAGTTGCCTTCAGAAGTTGTGGGAGCTTCATCACTGGAAGCTTTCAAGAAGAGACTGGACTGCCACCTGTCAGAAATGGTGTAAGCAGGGTATCCTGCTTGGGCGGGGTGGGTGAGGGTTGGACTAGATGACCTACAAGGTCTCTTCCAACTCTGAAGGTCAAGAACAAAGCAAAATCCATCCAGCTTGTTTCCAGGAAACCAGTGGGATGAGAAAAGGACCTTCTGCAGAAGTCTTTCCTGTATATAGGACACCAGAGCCAGAATTTTAAATAAAGACAAAAACTCCCTTAAACTGAAGGCCAGTTGGAATCACCCTCTTCAACTTACCAATGTAGTCTACTTAGTAAAAACATAGAAAATTGACAGCAGAAAAAACCTACTGGTTCCTGTAGTGGTCCATTGAGTCTGCCCTTTGAGTTTATTTGCTTTTTGTTTTCTTTTTAATTAATTATTATTTTTAAATGTTTTAATTTTTATTGTATTTTTGGGGGGTCAGGTGATGGACATGTATTTATCCTACGCAAATTTAAACTCAATGACTTAGCCTTCCATCCTTCCAAGGCTTGTAAAATGAGGACTCCAAATTGTTGGGGGGGCAATATGCTGAGTCTGTAAATCGCTTAGAGAGGGCTGTAAAACACTGCAAAGCAGTATATAAGTCTAAGTGCTATTGCTATTGACTTAAGTTACCTTTGCTGGAAGTTTATTTTATTTTATTTATTTTTTATTTGTCAATTGCTTATAAGATAATAGGTATAAGTATAAACATAGTTATGAATACATGAAATGGATACATATAAGAAAAAAAACAGTAGGACAGGGATGGTAGGCACGTTGGTGCGCTTATGCACGCCCCCAACAGACCTCTTAGGAAAGGGGGGAGGTCAATAGTAGACAGTCTAAGATTAAAGTTTTTGGGGTTTGGGGAAGAAACCACAGAGTCAGGTAGAGTATTCCAGACATTGACCACTCTGTTGCTGAAGTTGTATTTCCTGCAATCAAGTTTGGTGCAGTTAACCTTGAGTTTGTATCTATTGTTTGCTCTTGTGTTGTTATGGTTGAAGCTGAAGTATTCATCGACAGGTAGAACATTGCAATGTATGATTTTATATACTATACTTAGATCGGACCAAAGTTGTAGGTTTTCTAGGATTTCAAGCCTGGTGGCATAAGGTATTCTGCAACGAGTAGAAGCTTCCATCACTTAACAACTAACGTGATTCACTTAACAACAGCAGTGATTCACTTAACAACTACGGCAAGTAAAGGTCGTAAAATGGGTCAAAACTCACTTTGTCTCGTTTAGCAACATAAAATTTGGGGCTCAATTATGATCGTAAGCAGGGTAATCGTCCCCAGTCCTGGGCCACCTGGGCGGCTTCTCCAACTGAATAAAAGCCTCGATCGGGATCTTCCGTTCGAACAGCCCGGGGAGGCGTTTCTGAAGCGGGTGGGGGGGGGGTGTAGGCAGAGTCGGGCGGCCGCAGGCGGCGGGAATGGGCGACCCAGCCCCGCCGTCCTTCCTTCCCTCCCCGCCGAGAGGCTCAACGCGACCTCCGCGCGCTGCCGGGCTGAGGGCTCGAGGCGGACCAAGCCCTCGCGAAAGAGGAGGGCCCAGCCCGGCAGCCGGGGCCACTCGAGGTCTGCCGGCTAGGCCGGCCCGGCGAGCGCGGCCTGGGCGCAGTGCGCATGAGCGGCGGAAGGCAGGGCCCGCGAGGAGGAGCCCCGGGAGCCGCTGCTGCCGCCGCCGCCGCCGCTGCCGCCAACCTTGGTCCGCCTCCTCCTGCTCCTCCTCAGAGTCTGCCTGAGCCGGCCCGGCGGGGAGCGAGGCCCGCGCGCAGCCCCACCATGGTGAGAGCCCGCCCGCTGAGGGGAAAAACCGCCGCCGCCGCCGCCGCCATCGCCTGGCAACGCGCGGCCTAGCCGGCGGCGGGAGGGCGCGACCCCGCAAGGCCGCGCAGGGGGCGGCCAAACCCGCGGCCAAGGAGGGCAGGCCCGGTGGGAAAACGGGGACCGACCCCCCCCCCCCCCCCCCCACCCGGCGGGGGGGATGCGGGCTATCATTTGCCTGAGGGTGAAAGGGCCGCTTCTCGATTCAGACGCCCGGGCTTGGCCCGCCGGGATCTCGGGTCGTGCCCTTGCCGGGAGGGCGTGTTGGGGGGGACGGGGGACCTTTGGGGTCGGGGATGGGGATCGCCGTCCCCGATCCAGGCCAGGCATGAATTCCGGAGCCCAGAAGTATTTTCCCTGTGAGATGGAAGCCTTTGTGGGTTGTGTATGAGGTGTAATGGGGGTGAGGGGGGGGGATTCCTTTTGCACTTCATTCAACAAGGAGTTTGGGGTACTCCTGGGTGTAGCCCCCCCCCCCTTTCAGGTTTTGGGGAAATGGGCGCCGATGAATTGAGGGCTCTTTCCCCTCTGCAGACGGGATGGAGGCTTGTGGGTGGATGGGAAAGAGATGGAATCAGAGGAGAAAAAAGTCCAGCAATTGTTTGGTCTTCATTGCAAGGAGGAGAGAGATGGGTCAATCCGTGGTGGCCAAACATCAGGAATCTCCCCCCTCCGCCCCCCATAACCCCAATTTCACACACACACACACACAAAAAGACACTCACTTTCCATCGGGGTCCAGGATCTTGTGCCCAACATCCCAGGAATGTTTTTGTGGGCTTACAAAATTCGGTGCACAAAATTCCCATAGACACACGTTTTTTTTGTGTGTGTGTGAAATGTATTGGTGGGAAAAGGTGCTGTCCGAATTGGGATGGCTTGATCTTCAGAAAGGACAGGGATTCCCTCTAGCTGGATATGGTCTGATGGTGCTGGATTAAGGAATCGAAAAGGTGTAGTAGATTCAAGTCCAGTTTAAAGATCTGGTATCTCAGAGTTGATTGCTGTTCCTTCTCTCAGCCCAACTTATCTGGCGAGTTTGTTATTCGGGTATAAATTTAACATATACATTAATTTCTTCATCCACGGAGTCCCTCCCTGATAAGAGATTCTGATGGCAGGTTTCATCAGAAAGATGAAGCTGTAGTTTGGGTAGGTTTGGGGATAAGAGTGGTGTGGGAAGCCAGGAATTATGCTTTGTAAACATTAGGTGTATGAATCCAATTGATTGTAGAATATGAATGAAACCATGACTGTTTATTGGATAAGTCACATAAAAACATAGGTACAGCAGCAAATGCAAAGTTTTGTCCCAGAATGTTCTTGTAGAATCTAACAATTCAATAATAAGGATATCAATTTAATACAACAACAATAATAACAATACAGAAATGCCAAACTCAGTCTGAACATTTGGCTGACTTTGCGATGATAAGTAATAATAATAACAATCCCAGGCTTGGTTTATTTGTTTATATGTTATAAAAGGAGTTTTCTACAAGAAAGAAACTAGACCAAAATCTGACATCAACTTTTAGAAGGTGATGAGGCAGTATTTGAATCATCTTGTCACTTTATTTCATCTCAAATATCCCTATTCTCTTGCAGAAATCTATGAGAATCTGGTTTGAAGTAGAATTTAGTGTCAGATTTAGTTCAGTTTGGTCTGAATTTAATTCAGACTGTTAATTTGTTTTCCACTCTTGGTGTAAACTAGTATTACACATCTTTAAAAGTCAGTGACATCATTAATTACTGTTGGAATGCATTATGCTATTTGGGTCTTGTTTACTTGAATAGTGTGTTGACCTGTTGATATGATGTCATGATCTTCTGCATGTATTTCATACACACATACACACACACACACACACACACACACACTCATACACACTTGGAATTGCCCTGGGAAATTGAGGAATATTTTTAATTAATTTGCTGGCAATGGCTGTGTTCCACAAAACTTTAGTGCTATATTAGTTGGTCAGTATTTGAAGTAGGGATGAGAACATGGGCCTTATTCAAATGTTAGCTCATAGCATCCATATGCTTAAATTAACAATTTAAGAATTCAACAACTCATATTTTGAGATTTTCACCTATTTTCCTAAATGGCTAGGTTTCATTTTGAAAGACACTTTAGTTCCCAAATCTTTTTTTTTTTTTTTTGGTCATTAGGAATTCTTAAAAATTCTTCGGAGTTTTAAACATTTGTATTTATAGGTTAAAACTTTCATATTTCCTGTATAGTGCACTCTTCAAATGATTTGAAGAATATAGTCTGAAAATTGGTTTGTAATTTAGTTTAGGGCAGATTAGTATTGTAAATGAGTTTATATTATTTGAAAACCTTTTCTTGTGTGTGTGTGTGTGTTTATATGTATGTCTATATATGTCTATAAATGTGTGTGTATGTATGTATGTATATAAACACTTTCTAGATACTTATTACCTCAGTAATGTGCTGCCCAAAACAGCATGTAAAATTCTTCAGGAAATATAGTGAGTTGTACCAGGACTCTTGGTACTTACAGTTGTGTTTAGGTGCAGTTAATTTTACCTTCAGTGTACACACCCAGGATGTTTCTCCTTAGACTAATTTATTGCCTCTGCATTTAGCTTCCTAGGAAGAGATGTGATAGGCCATTTTTCTATCTCTGGCAAAGTGTATTCGTACTGTAGCCAGCATCTAGTTAACCTTGCTTGAACTCAGAAACTAAGCAGAGCTAGTACTTGAAGAGGGGGTACAATTTAAAATCCCAATGACATTGTCATTGCCTGGAAGACAGCGACAAATAATTTCTTTAATATTACCAAGAAAATTATACAGATGTGTCATCTGGATTAAATTTATGGTTCACATTTTTGCTCCTATAGTTATATGGGCCTCCTATCCCTCATTATTTCTGCCCATCTCACCAGATCTAGTAAGGAAGGCATGCTCTGGATCCCTTCCATCAAACAGTGGCATTCACAGCCTATATCCCCTAATCCTAATGGCCCCAACCATGTTAGTCTTTTGTAAAACTTTGAAGACCTGGCTGTTACCTCTGCCATTTGAGCCAGAAGCCAGGCAAAGTCTACAGGTGATTGTATTCTTTTATTATTATTTGGTTCCTCCTGGTTTAGTTCCTTGGGTTTCATTGTTTGTATCTTTTTGTTTTTTAATCCTTGTACCCATCTCCCCTAGTCATTGTTGTGTGGTGGATAGTTATGTAAATCTATTTAAAACAATAAGGGTGCGATGGCTCAGCGGTTAAGATGCTGGGTTTGTTGGCTGGAAAGTTCGACAAGGTTCGAGACCTGAGCATTACTCAGTGGGGTGAGCTCCTGTTCCTGGCCCCAGCTCTTGCCCACCTAGCAGTTGGAAAGCATGCAAATGTGAGCAGATAAATAGTGGGAAGATAACAGCGTTCGTGTGCTTCACTGTGTAATCGTGCTGGACACATGACTGTGGAAGTGTCTTCGGACAACGCTGGCTCCCTCAGCTAAGAAGTGGAGATGGATGAGACTGGACAGGGGAAATCTTTAGCATTGCCTATTTTAAAAATGTGAGTTTATATAAAAGGAACATCTTATTAAAAATATGCTAAAGTGGAATCCCTTAGAAAAAGTGAAATGTCGGTTGCAAAACTGGGCACATTATTATCCAAAATAATGTAAGATGACATTCTACAATAACCATACAGTACTTCTACATTATAATTTTCAGCACGAGTCTCTTGCTTTATATTCCCAGAGCTGGGGTAAAAGAAGCAGCTCTACTTTCTCAGGGACATTTTTCTGTGGTCCTGTTCCCTGTTGCCATTTTAATCTCATTGGGCCATCAACTCGTGCTAGATTGCCAGAGGTGGAGTTAGCTAAGAGATAGGGGCAGATACATGTAGATGTAGCTGCTGTTTCAAGTGCTGTTCTGGGAAACTAAGAAGTTTACATCTATTGCTTGATAATATTCTTTGTGTTCATTGATAGACAATAACTCATGTAACCTTCTTGGGCTGTTTGACCATGATTTACCTTGTTTTTGCCAGAAACTGGTATTTACTTTGACCACAATTTGTGTTGTTTGTGCCAGAAAATGGCAAAAAAAACCCCCACCCCATAATGAACAGTGGGTTCACCTAACAACCCCGGTGTGCATTTTGCAATACTGCGTTCACTTAATGACCACTGCATTTTATGACCAAAATTTGCAGACTCAAAGTACTACTATAAATCGAGGACTACCTAGGCATGTATTGTTGTGCTGAATTTTGATACTTTTTTGTTAAATTGTTTCACATTTAACCCTCAGTTAAACCTTTTTTTTCCTCATCACTTCTGAGTTCAGTTGATGTCCTATTAGATTTCATATGAGAATAATTTAGAGGGAAATTAGTAGTGGTATATTAGCCTTTTCATTAAGCTGTTCTATTGTATTCCCAAATCAATTAGTTTCTGAAAGCTAATCGATCACTTTGGATATGTGTCAGGAGCATCCATAGATAAGTTTTTTTTTAAAAAAAAAGGCAAACAAGTGATGCTTCAATCATTACAGCTACCATCTTGACTTTTTTGACCATACTTTGTAGACACTCCTGGTAATTAACCTTACAGTCTGTTATTGTTTTTTTTAAAAGCTCTCTGTTTCATGGAGCCTTAGCAGATATTGTGAAGGATGTTGCTTCTATCTTGAATAACCTGAATGAGCCCATAAATCACATTGTTACTAATACACTGAGAGTTGTGTATTTCGTTGTTAATTCCACCGTAGTAAGCTCATCTGACTTGTGAGGTGCCTGGAGCAATGGTGAACAACATGACTTGCAAGTAACTTTTGAATTCATCTGTGCAAAGTTAAGAAATCAATATCCTAATCGGGCTTTCTGAATATCTGCCTTACTTCGTCCGCAACTGATATTTATCATGTATGGAGTTTTCCTTTGAGATATTTCCTTCTCAGGGCAAAACAGGTATAAAGTTTTTCTGCTCTTCTTTTCAAACTTTTTTTTTTAGAACAAGTTGAAGTCATCGCAAAAAGATAAAGTTCGGCAGTTTATGATCTTCACCCAATCTAGTGAAAAAACAGCAGTGAATTGCCTGTCCCAGAATGACTGGAAGCTCGATGTTGCAACAGATAATTTTTTTCAAAATCCTGAACTTTATATACGAGAAAACATTAAGGGATCACTGGACCGAAAGAAATTAGAGCAACTATATAATAGATACAAAGGTGAGTAAAAAAGTTTTTATTAGTGTTTTGAATGGTTGAACTTAGCTACAGTTGTTGGTTTCAGCCGGGCCAGGGGGTGGGGAAATATGACTGAAAAGGATAGATGTTTGGCCCTTACATATTGCAACATGGTTTGTTTATTTAACTACCTTATTTAAAGTAGTCCTTGACCCATTCTTTCCCCTAAGGAGCTTAGGGGGGCAGCAAACATATTTATCGTCTGTTATATTACAGGTAGTCCTTGGCTTATGTTTGCAACTGAGCCCAAAATTGCTGCTGCTAAGTGAAGCAGTTGTTAAGTGAGTTGTGCCCCATTTCATGACACTTCTTGCCACAGTTGCTAAGTGAATCCGTGCAGTTGTCAAGTTAGAAACACGGTTGTTAAGTGAACCTGACTTCCCCCATTGACTTTGCTTGTCAGAAGGTCACAGAAGTTGACCTCAAGATGCTTCAACTGTCATAAATATGAGCCAGTTGCCAAGCATCCAAATTTTGATCATATGACAGTGGGGATGTTGCAACAGTCATAAGTAAGTTTTAAGCTGCTTTTTTCAGTGCTGTTGCAACTTCTAATAGTCACTAAACCAATGGTTGTAAGTCATAGACTACCTGTATTACAACACAGGTGGAAATATAGTTCACTTCTGAAAAGTGAACTGCTCTGATTTTCATCCTTAAACCCCAATCCCAAATTTCTTGAAAAGTTACTCCCAAACAATCCTTGCTTCTTCCACTCATATCCCTGGAAGGCCACCTTTTCCTTGGTTAGGAAACTAGATTGAAATTTCCTGACTCTGAAGATATTGCTCATTTCTTTCCAGAGCATAATATTTGGGAGGGGGTGGCTTTGATAGAGCATGCTGTGTCTGAATTCAACCATTTTTGGTTTATACAATAATTCCAGTTTTAACAGATCATAACTTTCTTCAACGTGTATATATTGTTAGTTGACTCAAGAGCAAAAGTTTGGGGACCTTCTAACATCAGAAGCCACGTTCTTGTGTTTGATCTAGTTACCTGATCTTACCCACATTTCTACTCTGACTTTCCTAAAATTATTTGTCAAGCCATTGCTTTTTCTTCTCCCCAGAGCCTCTTAACCTGGACTTGCAGGGAAATGGATTTTTTTTTAAAAAAGTCCTTCATGAGAGGTGAATTGAGATGTCTTCTCTCTCCCTCTTGTGAAAGAGAAAAACTGTCCCATTTTCAATTGCAGTTGTGATTCCAGGCAAGAGAAGGACTGTGAGACACTTCTTACACCTTTTTATAGTGCAAAGATTGATGTGAGGTGGCACCTGCCAGCACTTAATGTCCCTTGAGTCAGAAATTAGTTTCTCACTCACGTGATTTGTTTTGAAATCACACCTACCCGTACCCTTGTTGCTGGAGTGCGTGCTTCTAGGAATTTTTACACGTTTGTTTGTTTGTTTGTTCATTTATTTCTCCTTTAAACCTTTAAGATCCTCAAGATGAGAATAAAATCGGCATAGATGGCATACAACAGTTTTGCGATGACTTGGCACTAGACCCCGCCAGCATTAGTGTCTTGATAATTGCCTGGAAATTCAGAGCTGCGACGCAGTGCGAATTCCTAAGGATGGAATTCATGGATGGGATGACAGAACTTGGGTAAGTGCTGGAGCCCCTCCTGTGAGGCATGCAGCGCCCTTTGGGTCAAAGCAGCATGAAAACCCTGCCCATAACCCTGTTTGATTTTACAGAAAGGCACTCCCTCTTGATTTCCTGCCCACCAAGCTCTGGCCTAGTTGCGCATTGATTCTAGCGAATAACGCTTATACGCTCCTTTGTGGAGTATTTTATTATCTTTTTTTAAATCATCAAGTGAAAGGAGCACAGCGGCTTGAGCGGTTGAAACACTGGGCAGGAGGGGTTAGCAAGCCCGCCTTTGAGACCCCAGAACTGCCATGGGGTGGGGTTGAATCCTTCGCTTCAGCACCAGCCAGGGACATGAAAAGAGCCCCCAACTGGGCATCCCCAGGGCAACGGTGATGTCACCGGCGGCTAATTCTTTCAACTGGAAGCGCTTCTGACAAAAATAATCATCAAGAGTTACAGCAATGTTTTTTTCTTTCTTTCATAAATTGGGTTGCTTTTAAGATGTGTGGATTTCAGCACTCAGAATTCCCAGCCAGCATAGACTTGCAGGCTGGGGGATTCTGGGAGTTGAAATCTATACCTCTTAAAATGGCCATGTTTGAAAAACACTGAGTTATACAAGGTAATACAGTGACAGAATTAAGAGGAGCAATATTTTCAATCCCCTTTTTAAAGAGCATTTTTGAAGGCTTTGTTTAGCTTTTGTTTCTTGTTTTTTAATTGTAATAGGTACAGCAAGCTTTACTGTCCAAAGTGAGAAATCGTTGTATTTTCATTGCACTGTCCGCTAGGGCCCGAAAACTTTCCTTCTGTGTGTTCCACTTCATTAAAATATCAGATGAGACCATATCTGGAAGTGTAGAATAAAATATTCCTTACAGATATGTCAGTACCAGAACTGAACTTGTACATTTGTTTACTCTTTTGGCAAGTGTGTTGATGCAAGGTATGAGAAAACTGTGGAGCAACATAGATGATAGTGCTCCATAATATCCTTATGGCAGCTTTTATACGCCCGATGTTTTCTGAACTGACTTTGTTTACTTGCAAGATCAGGAAAATGAACAGACTATCAGATAATTGATTTAAATATACAAGTAGCTGAATTTCTAAGGAATTTCTTGTAAGACGTAACCTTTTTCTGGTATATATTTTTGCCTTGGTTACCATATTCATTGATTCAAGCAAACAAAGGGAAGCTGTGATCATTCTTGCAGAATTGTTCTAAACCTCTGCCTTGTGTGGAAATTTCATCCCTAGGTGATTTGTAAGTGTGTAGATTAATTACTATTTTAATAAACCAAATTGTAGACAACTTCAAATATCATTCATTCTAAAAGCAGTTATAGTCCTCGATGTACAACCACTTGTGTAATGACTGTTTGAAGTCACAATGACCTTGGAGAAAGTGATTTTATGACTAGCATCCACATTTACAATTGTTGCATGTACCCCAAAGTCATGGGATTGTAATTCTGGCATTTGGCAACCAGCTCCCATTTATGACCAGTGGCAGCAACGTCTTGGAGGACCACGTGATTGTGATTTGCCAACTTTATTGTCGATTTCCTGCAAAAAAAAAAATCCCCATTGGGGAAACTGTATTCACTTAATGACCATGTGATTCACTTAATAGCCATGGGTTTCTCTTAATGGTCCTAGTAAAAAAATGGTCCTAAAATTGGGTCCAATTCGATCTGCAACCACCAGGTCTTATGACAGAAATTCCAGTCCCAATTGTGGCCATAAGCCAAGAACTACCTATATAAAGGATACAGGTAGTTGTTGATTTACGACCATAATTGAACCTCAAATTTCTGTGGCATAAGCAAGGCAATTCCGTGAGTGAGATTTGCCCCATTTTACAACTTTTTTTTTTTTGCCCCAATTGGTAAGTGAATCACTGCAGTTGTTAAGTGAATCATGTCATTAAGCAGAGCTGGCTGACTCCCCCATTGGTATTGCTTGTTAGAAGCCAGCTAAAAAAATTACAAAATTACAGTTTCATGACCCTGGGATAATTCAACTCTTATAAATACATGCTGCTTACAAGATGCTCAAATTTTGATTCTGTCACCGTGGGGATGCTATAGTAGTCATAAGCATGAAGACCTGGTCAAAGTCACTTTTTTCAGTGCTGTTGTAACTATGAATGGTCACTAAACAAATGGTTGCAAATCAAGGACTACCTGTATTGCTATAATTTGTAGAAGGATTTAAAAACATGAGGTCTAATATACTGACTGAAGGAGAAATAAAATCTTTTGATGTATCAATACAGATGTGACAGCATAGAAAAACTAAAGGCCCAGCTTCCTAAAATGGAACAAGAATTGAAAGAGCCAGGAAGATTTAAGGACTTTTACCAGTTTACTTTCAACTTTGCAAAGAATCCAGGACAGAAAGGTTTAGGTATGTATGCCACTGTTTCCTAGCTCAGGGAGAAGTAAGACTCATGTCACATACTGGAAAGTAAATTCCTCAGCAATCTCTGTGGCTGAACAGGATGATGGAAACTGCCTTTTCCCCTCAATCGAGACAAGTCCATCAAGGTCCCTTAGCCAAAGGTGCTTTTCTCCCCCCCCCAAAAAAGGCATTTTGGAGGGATTTTCCCCCTTTGAATACATTTCGCTTCTCATCCAAGCAACTTCTTCAGTTCTGAAGTTCACGTCTCCAGAACTGAAGAAGCTTCTTGAATGAGAAGTGAAAGGAAAAAAACAAAAAACCCAGTTAAGTTTGCCGTTTTTAGAAAAGCACCTTTGGGACAACCATGACCTGAATGATTGAGAATCTCCATAGACATTTAGCTCAGCAGGTGTCACTTAACAAAGTTAAACCATAGTTTGCGAGACAACCAGCCCTGAGAAAGGTGCTGTCGAAGCTTTGGAAGAGTTCAGCAGCGTTTCTAGCTTTTCTTCCCTCCCTGAAGGGCTCGTGTTGCTAATCAAGACAACAAGGCCGCCTCTGAAATTTAGGGTAGGTTCAGAAGCAAACTCCCTGCTTATTGTGAAGAGCTCAGCAAAGGGAATAAGGGAAATCCCATGGCAAACTTTTGCTTGCTCTTTAGCCCAGGGTCTAGTTGAGATAATCTGATAAATCTTTGAAGGAGATGAAGATGAAAAATCCTGAAATTCAGGAACTTTTGAAACATCTTTGTGCTACATATTATTATTATTTTTTGCTTTGATAATTAATTATGCATTCCAGAAATCATTCTGGATCATAATGTTTTTGTTTTTTTGGAATTTTTTTTAAAATCTCTTTAATGTTACAGATTTAGAAATGGCCATTGCCTATTGGAACTTAGTACTCCATGGAAGGTTTAAATTCCTAGACTTGTGGAACAGATTTTTATTGGTAAGTTCAAATACTGTTTCTAGCAAATACATACATATTGAGTGTGTGTGTGTGTGTGTGTGTGTATGGTATGATCAATACCATTATGAAAAGGGTCTAGATCAGGATTTTTTGCCTATGAACATAATAATAGATCAGATTGACATTAGAGCGAACGGGCAGCTTTTTTTGTCTCTTCTGATAGTCCTTGACTTACAACCAATGGCTTAGTGACCATTCAAAGTTACAACAGACCTTCCCAAAGCTCCTTAAGACCAGGCTATCTGGTTTAGCCTCCACCCTCACCCCATGATTACCTGATCACATTTTGGACACTTATAGCTGTTTGTAGCATCCCCCAGTCACGTGGCCATAATTTACAAATTTTTTTTTGTCAGAAACCGACATTGCTGGATTCACTTTGTGACTGCCGCAAAAATGATCATGAAATCTGGTGCGGTCACATGGTGACTGCTTACCAATCCGGACTGTAATTCCAGGCACAATTATGGTCATAAGGCAAGGACTACCTGTATTTGTAAGACACAAGAATAACTTGGTTGAATTGGGTGGCTGTGGGAAAGAAAGAAAGAAAGAAAGAAAGAAAGAAAGAAAGAAAGAAAGAA